TAATTCACCGGATTACCTTGAAATTGGACGATATATTAGAAGGTTGGATATAATAAGTTTGAAGTTACTTAACGTACGAGGTTAAGGCACACGTGTTTCGAGATAAAGAAAGTGTTAACGAACAACACCCCGATTCAATTACAACGCTAATTAACACTTCTTTTGTTCCGATTAATGGAACGAGTTCGGACACGAGTTTCAGAGCGAATCGGATTCGAGTTTGAAATTCTGCCAACTTGCGAAATTTAGGACGCATCGCTAATATCGGAATGCCGATCAAACATCTTTCTCGTCCCAAGATTTATCGTTATTTCACTCGTGCCGATTCATTCACCTTTGATTTTCGAAGCGACGTTAATTCAACCGCTCGACTCGAAAGATAGCGCACAAGCGCCAATTAACTTTTTCTCGTTTCTCCAAAAAAACAAGTTTTTCCTCTAGAGCCTCCACTCCCTCTAGCTTCATCTATCTTCGCGCCAAATTTGAATCATCCACTCGTCGATTCTCTCCTCGTCAACCTTACGTCGTTACAAACACGTACGCTACAAATTCAAAAGAAATAAGTGGTGGACTCTCCGATCCAAAGATCAAGGACGAACCTCAAAATCCTCCTCATCCACCCCTATCTAAAGAAACTCATTCGATTCGATCCTCCACAATCCCGATTTTCCTCCCAGTCGATCTTCCCCTGCCGCCGAATCCTCGCTAGGAAGCGGAACGTCGGCAGATCCACAGGCCACGGATCTCGAGGCCTCGAGCGGCATTCGCCAGATGACTCTCGTTCCCGGCCACGGTTAATATCCCCCGGATCCGCGGATGGATGCTGGTGGGACCAGTTCCATCTCCACGACGCGCCGTTGGCTCGCCCGTTTCCCATCACCGCGGTGTCAGTGTGAACAGCACGCCGACCAATCCGGCCACGGCTTTATCTTCTCGCGTTCCTCCCATTGGCTGGAACCGGTCGGGTTTCTATCGAGCGGGCGTCGGAAGGCCGCGCCTAGCCGAGAGAGAGGCTCGCCGCTTCGGATCTGGGGTTAGTGCACCTTCGTTTTCCCCTCCAGCAGGTCGGACAAGGACACCAGCAGAGGACGAGCAGGAGGGAGGGAGAGAGAGAGAGAAAGAGAGAGAGAGAGAGAGAAAGAAGGGGGAGAGAAGAATGGGGGAGTAGAGGGAGGAGAGAGACGTAACTCGAGGAGGGAAGGGAGAGGAGATAGACCTAGTGCTCGTCTTCTTCTTCTTCTTCTTCTTCTTCTTCTTCGTTAATACCGTTTCCAACCTCGTCGTCCCTCCGCTAGGCCGTGCAGAAACACCACCCTGATCGATATGACGTCGCATCCCCGGAGCGTTCGAGAGCGGCAAGCGACACGGGGTTGCTTCTTCAGCCGTCTTACGTTTCCTCTCCTATAATCTCCTGTAAGATTGCGACAGGCTGCCGTTGATTGAGAGCGCTCGGATATCGGGATGGGATTTTTCTTCTTTCTTCTCGTTTCTTCTTTTCTTTTCTATTTAGTTTCCTCGAAAAACGAGGGGAGAAAACGCGGATCGCAACCCCCTTTGCCGCGTCGCGTAATACGATTCGAGTAGGTACGATTGAGATTTTTCGAGACGCGGCACGGACGAGAGGAGATTCTTCCTCGATGTGACTCGAGTGCGGCGCATCTTCGAAGGAGATGGGGGATAAGAGAGGATGTGTTGAGGGCAAAACGGGGGATGAATTGTAGGCGGTCTGGTTATGGTTATCGTCGTCAATGTTATTTATTTTGCACGATGATTTCACGCGATTGCCTCGCTAAATACCACTCGCTCTCTCCATCTTCGCTTAGAAAGACATTAGTAGGTGTTAGTATATATACATTTTGATGCCATCTTGCACGAAATTATACACGAGGAAATCGTAATTTTCGCTCGAGATGATGAAAATCCATCTTTTAACCTTCTTGCGAGCAATTTCGCAACGGATTTAAAAATTTAAGGATCCTTCATTTTCATGGATACGAATCTATATCTAACGTGCATCGCTCCAACGATTTCATTCGACGCGTTATTTTCGATTACTTTACTCGATCAGTCATCACTGTGCAAACGCTCGAAAGGAAGAAAGGAAAATGGCGCACGATCAATCTCTTCGATCGCGTTCCCTATATATTGTTCCATACTTCCGTAAACGGAAGGCCAGAACTGGAGGGAGGGAGGCCATCGAGGGTAATTGGCGTGAAAGCTCGAAGAAGCTGTCGAGGTAAGGAAAATCGGTAAGGATTCGTGGTTGACGAATTTAATGGGGGGATGGAAGAGGAAGGAGACGCGCAGACGGTTCCGTCGGTGAACGGAACGAATTTCCTCCTCCGTGGATCGAGTACGCCGCCGTTGCTTTTCGTGGCCAAATATAGCCGGCCGTTTTCAGGCCATCGAAACTGGTCGCGGGCTACGATAACTGTCCAACTGTCTCCGCGATTCGATCACAATTAAAACGGGGAAGAGAAAATCTGGCGCAGGTGGAACAGGTGCACGCGATCGCGTGCCTCCACGAAATGTCTCGTACCATTCGATTCCATTCGTTTCTTTCCTCCGTTCCGGTGTTTGGAACAACCGTGCATTTTATGTACATAAAATTACAACTATTATAGAAGTTCTCTCGTGATAAATTATTTAACCGAGATAAAATACGTAACATGTTCATTTATCCGTAATTTTTCTAACAAGAAATCGTGTAAAAAAAATCGCGCAATTAAAAGAATTAGATTTAATCAAAAGTAAGGAAGAATTAACGTAAAGATACATACCTAACGATTTTTCGTCCCACGATATATATATATATATATATATATATATATATATATATATATATATATATTTTCTTTTTGTATCATCAACATGGAAACAAGGAACAACATGGAAAAAAAAACAAAGAAAATTCGAGTCTCCATCGTCCGAAATCTTCTCATCCTTTAACGAACAATGCGATGATAATTCCGCAAAACCGATTAATTGCCCGCGTTGAGATGTTCGTACTCGATATACAACGCACACGGAAAAAATGAAACGTCGTCTTGGTTTGATTATCGTTCGAAAATCGGCGCGAATCGGGCGGCGCGTTTCTAAGCGGGTTGTTCCGCCGGGGCGGTCCGCCGAGGCATTCATTATTCATGATTAGCGCCCCCAGCCCCCGTCCACGTCGTTTTCAAAGCGTTTACCGGCGCGTCCGCGTTTCACTCTCAATTAATTTGTAATCGTGTGCGGGTAGGGGGGGGGAGGAGAGGAGGGCCGGGAGGAGGGGCCACTGAATGGGAAGAGGCGCGGGTATCCAAAGAGAAATGACGTGACACGCGAATGGTTAGTCACGCGTCACTCACGCGTACAGGCTACAAATTGCGCTTTGCTGAACAGGAACAGTCCATCGTTGGCTGCGGGCGAAAAACGGGTGTCCCCGCAACCATTTTAATATCGCTGACCGTTTGTCACGCCGTTCGTCGAGATATACCCTCGAACGAGCTCAGCCTCTCTCACGAGCGAGAGCTTCAACTCACAGAGCCTCTCGGTCGCCGCGACCTCGTTCCTCCGTCCTCCGCTTTAATCTCGTTCGATCGCACGATTGCGCGAACAGTAACGGTTCGAGGTGTTAAATTTGTCGTCGTTCGATGATGGACGTTCGAAGACATTCTCGAAGCGGCGATCGTAATCCGGATATATTTACTTTAAATACGCTCGATTCTCAGGATATTTATAGAAATCGTCATTGTCGATTTTGATTATTCACCTCGTCGTACGTACAAGCAAGTAATAAACAAATGTAATCGGATGCGAATTCGAGAGGAACGCGACTCGCGTACGTGAAATTCCCGAGTATCAATATCCAGCCTTCGTTCGCATCGCGCATCGAAAATCTGGCATCGAATCATCCCTTCGCACAACACACGAGGCAAGAGGCCCCCGTCGTCGCCCTCCGCCCTCCACCCTCCACCCACCTCCCGAGCCAGACAGGCAGCGCGCTCACAAGAAGCTCGCAACATCCCACAAACCCGATGACATAATTGACACCCGCGAGGCGAGTCGTTCCGAGTGATTCTCGTCATCCGGCTTCGTTGGCCGTCGACTAGACGGGCGACGCGGCGCGGCGCGGCTCGACGAGGACGGCTCGAGGCGGTAGGCGTCGCGTTGGACGAGGAAGGAGAGGCGGCGCGACACGGCGCAAACGCCGGCCGTCCCGACGTCTCTACCCCGTGCCAGCCATCCACCCGAGACCCCACCCCGTGGCCCCGACGTCGGTGCACGCCAACCCCTGTTGTTCTGCCATGCCGACGTCCGCCCCTGGCCCTGGCCGGCCAGCCCAGGATCCTACTGTCGCCGGGCTTCCCTCGCGGCCAACTCGTCCGCCGACCTTCTACCCGCGTAGCGCCACGATTTTCCCTCTCGCGCCGGGCAAAAAGAGGAGAGGCCGTCTGCTCGAAAGAGACGTCGCGAAAGTGGCGTCTTCCGGCACGGCTCCGTCGCCGCCGCGTATCGCCACGTAACCGCGCGGGCACGTCGTGGCGCGTTCGAGCTGGCGATCCTTGGTGATGATCCTCTGCGGGCGAAGAAGGTGATAGAGAGCGAGTTCGAAGGGGTTGGAGAGGAGGAGGAGGAGGAGGAGGAGGAGGANGAGGAGGAGGAGGAGGAGGAGGAAGAGGAGGAGGAAGAGGAAGAGGAGGAAGAGGAGGAGGAGGAGGAGGAGGAGGAGGATAAGGAGGAAGACAGGTAGAGGCATAAGAGGAGGAAGGTCGAGGTGGATAATTTGGATACGATAATGGTGGTCGAGGAAGAGGAGGTTGGACGATTGGAGGAAGGTTGGACGAAGTGACAGTGGTTATAAATGGTGGAATGTATTTTCTCTATTGTGCGACTTGTTTTATAATATAATCGTGACGTGGTGGGGTTGTTGGAGGGTGAAGATTGTGCGGTAGATTTTGCTGCTTGGGATGTTGTAATTAGAGGGGGAGGGGGGGTTTCAAATTCGATGAAAAACCTTTTAACGTTTTTCGCGCTCGATCGCGTACGTGCCTATAGTAATCGGGAAAAGTAGCCACGCGATTACGTGTATTACGGTAATGTAATGAATCTTTCGAGAGAAAATTTCACCCTGGAAAAAAGGGAGGTTCGATTCTGAAAGGATTGGATTCAAACGTTGTTAAATTCATTCTTCTTAAATTAACGAGTCAATCGAGTTCAGAGATGTACAATTCGATCGTAACGGGTTATGTAGTGAATATCCTTCAATATCGAGCAAAATGGGAAGAATAATCACAAGTTTTTAAATACTTATCGCACGAGATTTCCAAATTCGCAGCGCGCTTCGATCGTCCAACGACTTCCGCCTCGACTTTCCAACGCTGTCGCGACACTGTTTCCGACGGACATTGAAACGCCGACTCTCGATCGTGCCGACTTTCGTCGTCAACCCCCACCCCCGATCGTCGAGCCTGGAAAACCATCGTGGTGCTCGTGGTTCAAGGTCGCGGCTACCATCCGGATGGAAATAGCCAGGCTCGAGATATAAATTAACGAGGTTGTGGGAACGGCTTGACGGGAAGCGACGGCAGACAGCGAGCGAGCGAGCGGAGGAAGCGTCGAGGGCGTCGGTAGCGTCGGTGAAATCCACCGGCGTGGATCGCAGCTGGTCGAACTAACACTCAGGTAAGCGGGGATTGAATGCATAAATCGGAGCGTGGAATTAGAATTTCGTGCCAAGTTGAGGCAAAGGGTCGGCGTTGAGTTTAATCGAAACAAGATCGGGATGATCAGGAAGACGTATCCGCTATTTAGAATCTCGATCGATCGAATATCTTTACGGATCGTACGAAGCGTAGAATATTTCCAAGCGTTTGTAATAATTACGTAAAATTATTCCATCACTATAACGTATTCCATCTGTATAAAAGCTTGCACGAAACATTCCATTAATATACGCGTATCGATAGTACAAATTAATATTAATTTAACTTCGATCTTCGAAATTCGAAATAAAGTTAGCCCTCACGTACAGCTGATCCGAATACCGCGCGCTTTTAAAACCATAAAGCCTAATAAAAAATCGTTCGCGCCAAGCCCCGTCGAGCGGGGGACGAGGAGAGAAGAGATCGAAAAGCGGGAAGGGACGAAACGCTAGCGAAAAAGGAAAGGAGAGTGGAGTAACAGTTGTAAATCAGCGTGCACACGGTTCGGTCTAATACGGCGGGTGACAAGCGGCAGCAAAACGGCGTCACCTTGGGTGGAACGAGGTGTACGGTGATTCCAGCCGACGTCACCTTCCATTTAACTTACGGAAATCACGTGCGGCCCGCGCTCGTAAAGGACGTTGAGTTATTGTGGCGATCCGCAAGCTTCTACTAATTAGCTCGCGGCCGATTCGAAACCGAGAGAGCCACTGCCCCGGGAGTCATTCATTAACGGGACAGCAGTCACGAATTGTTTTCATTCATCGGTTCTTGCGTGCGCCGCCGCCGAGAAGTGTCCTGAATGAATGCGGGGCCGCCTCCTCTCCGCCACCTCCTCCTCCTCCTCCTCCACCCCCACCTCATCTTCGCCGCCGCCTCCGCAGGAGGAGGAGGAGGAGGAGGAGTCCTTCGAGGTTTCCGAGCCTCGTCATCGCGATGACTAGATCGGGCAGAGAAAAAGAGAGAGAGACAGAGAGAGAGAGAGAGAGAGAGAGAAAAGTCAGATGAATTTTCGCCGAAATCGGGGACGAGTGGATTCGAGAGTGGAGTACAATCGCGGGGCCTTGGATCTCGTGGAAAATCGATGGGATCGGTGGCTGCGCTCAAAGCGTCAACCCCCTTTTTTTTATAAACCGCGCTTTATATGTCCCGTTGCCCTTCGTCAGTTTTACGATAGGAAGGGATTTCGCGCGGAAAGTTCGATTTCACGAGGCGATCGTTGAAATAGAAGAACTCGAAGATTGCGTTACAACCGCGCGCGAAATAGTACGAAGCTATGTCTGTGAATTTACTTCCGTTTAATCCATTCGTCGTACAATCGTCGTTCCAATTTCGATTCGAGAGTGAAACGTATTTTGATATTTCACTTCCAACCTTCCTTCATCAATTCATCCCCTAATATAGATGGAGACGATACCGACTCACGTTGTTATATACATACCCTTAACGAAATTTGGTAAAGATCTGTTGGAGGAAGACGAGGGATTTCTGTGTGTGGCAGAATGGGCCGGTGGCCGCGGCGGTCCGTTTCGAGATGCTGAAGGAAGTCGGGTGCGGGAGCAGCACACCCCCGCCAGGGGATGGCGCCGTCAGCAACCGGCAGCTCGGAGGCGGCGAGAACAACAACACCGACGGGGTCCTCGGTTGCGGGGGTTGCGGCAGGGAGATAGCCGAGCGATGGTACCTGAGGGCTGCGGACCGCGCGTGGCACTGCGGCTGTCTTCGTTGCTGCCACTGCCGTGTGCCTCTCGCCGCCGAGTTGACGTGCTTCGCCAGGGACGGCAACATCTACTGCAAAGAGGATTATTATAGGTTGGTGCAAGTAGTCGTAAGAGGATTAGGGGGCACAGCCAGGGAAGGGAGGGAGGAGACCGCGCGGAATTTCGCTTCTAGGGTGTTCACAATTGCTTCGAAACGCAATTCGAATCTACTCGTGTTCCTTTTGCCGAGCGTTTCGAAAACTTGGGAGGAGGACAATTGGTTTTTGTCTTTGGACGCGGGACGTGGACGTGGTTTCGGAAATTTCAATTTTTACTTGAATTATATATATATATATATATATAATGTGTAGAGTTTCTTGTATTTGTTTGCGTTTGAATTTTCTACAAATGCAGCACGATGATCGTGACACGATGGGAAATAAGTGATATAATTTGTCGAAGCCTCGATTTCGAGGAAATTCGAGGGATAATTTTTTTATACCCTGGACATCACGCAATTCTAAATAATATATATGCAGTTTCAAAGGGATTTCTTTACGATATTTTCGAAAGTTATACAACCACTCTTCTTCTTCGACGTACGAATCCAGCCATTCATCGTGGCGTTTTACGTCGAATTATCGGGATGACGCGCGAAATTAATGCAAGATCGTCGATTGGCCGGGTCCGGGCTTCCCGTTTCGGTATTTATTAGGGTATCCGCGAATTTGCATACGAGCGTCCGCCCCGCTCAAAACTCGGCCCAGGACCACACAAAATGTCTACTAATGGCCAGGTCTAAGCCGTTCCTTGTCCTAGGAGTAACCTGGTCCCTGAAATTCCAACGGTGATACGTTGAGCGCGATAAAAACAAGCGGTCACCCCTCTTTCCGCCATTCGGATGACGCTCAGTTTTTCTTCGAGCACCCGCCCGCCGAATTGCTGCAATTTCGATCGATCAAACGCACACGTTTTCGAATCTCGTTTGCCTCGCATCGTCGCCGATCGTAATCGCGGTGTTTCGCTCGTTTACCCCCTTCGAAAAAAATTCCCCCCTTCTCAAGTTTTAGATTCTCGACCGAGGATTTTCCTCGCGATTAATTCACTCGTGAAGAAGATATCTCGAGAATTTCTAAACAGAGAAATCGATGTGTTTCTTTCGAAGAGTTGGACAAAATTGAAAACTTTCGAAAATTCTTTCAAAATTTCGTTCCGATCCCAGAAGGAAAGTAATTTGATAATTCAATTAATACGACATCGCTTCCTGTTTCCACGAGAGTTGGAAAATATTATTTAAGAAGATTGCGGAACAGCCTGGTGGAGGAGAGATATTCTCATATATTGAAAAGGTTTGAATCTTCCCTCACAGGGACAAAGGAGTTATATTTCAAATTTAAACGCGCGTTGCCTCGCATTCCGATGCTCAACAAGATAATCACTTATGCGCAAAGCGAAACAAATTTTCCCCATGTTCCGTTCCTAAGCGATCCTGCACACACACACACACACACACACACACACATACGCGCGCTTCTTATGCGAAAGCTCTTGAAAGCCGCCTAGTAGATTAAGATATAAAAATGCAAAATCTCGATGAATGAAATTAATTACGTTAAACTTGGCCATTGTGGAAATGGTAATTAGACGCGGGGGAATCTGTTATTGTGTTTTTTACGTTATGAAAACGGCGCTCTCGTTGAAATTCAGAGAGAGCAGTTAGCGGACGGCGGCTGGAGGAGCACGCGTTGCATAATTCCGCGTAGCTCTCGAAAGCGTGAGAATCGTTTCTTCTCCTCTCCCGTATCGTGTTTCCCTCCGGTGTTCGTTGTTTCCGTTTCGCATTAACCGGATTGAAATTGTTAAATTGACGAGGTTCGGGGCCAGAATACCGGCGTTAAATATTCAATCCCCCATGAATTATTCACCGCGAATGTATATTCTTGTCCAACAACCGAGTAATAACCGATTTCTTTCCTCGAATGTATGAATTAATTGACAAAAAGATTAAAAAAAAAAGAAATACCATCCCTTGGAGCAGAGCGAGAAGAAGAAGAAGAAGAAGAAGAAGAAGGAGAATTTTAGAACAAGAAGGAAACAAAATCGTGCGAAATAAAATTTTCCTTTCTCTTACTTATTGTTATCTCGTCACGTTATATCTTCGAGAATTAATTAATTGAGCAAGAAAAAGAAGAAGAAAAAAGAAAAAGAAGAAGAAGAAGAAGAAGAAGAAGAGAAAATCGTGTGCGAAAAGAATGAAATTCTCTTTTTTCATACTTATCTTGAAGCATCAGTTTCCTTGTTATTTTTTCCTCCCTCTTTTATTTTTCTTTTTTTTTTTAATGACAGGAAAAAGGGATTAGGTCGCGAGGGTTCCCTCGTCCCCCCGATCCTGTAATCATCGCTAATCAGCGGTAGGTTGCGCGAGCAGCCTCGATGAAACGGAATAATTAAAGGGAACAAAGCTAGGTCGGGGATCCGACGAGGAACATTTTTCGAGCAAGCCGAGTTGTTACGGCCGGAAAATTGAAACGTTTTCTTTCCAGAAACGAAAGACAGCCGGAATAACGAATGCAACGTGCGGCTTTAGCCGGAAGCTCTCCTTTACGGAAGCTCTTTTTCCAGCGAAATATAATATTGCGCAAACAAAGGGACTCGTCAAAAAGAATCCACCCTTCTCCTCCCGAAGACGAGGATCCCGTATCCCCGTACGTGAAGCGTACGTACGATGTTTGTACATCGCGATATCAGCGAATCAACCATTGTCTACGATACGAGGCTGAAGATGAAAGGTTACATATAACGCAATTTCACCTAATTTTTCTTTTTGTTCTTCTTCTTTCTTCGAGAATTACGATTAAACGAGAAATTTTAATAATCGACGATGAGCAAATGATGCTTGGTACAATTACGACAATTTACGAAATTACATCCACTTTTAGAAATTCTTTAAAAGTTCCAGTTCCAAAGATTCAAACGTTGAATTCAATCCTATTACGAATAAAATCTTTTCTCAAAAATATTCCGTCGAATCGTTATTGTCATCGCGATTCCTCCAACAACGAGATGATACAAAAACGTGGTAAAAGTAATTTAAATAAAATTTCCTCTTCGTGCATTAATCGCAAAGATTATCGCGCGACCTTTCTCCAATAATCAATCCCCCGAACACCCGTACCAGCATCCGCATCCCACCGCCCTCCACCCCTTCCCTCGTCATCCTCGAGGCCGATCCAGACGAGATTCCAGACGAGGGTGCAACACGCCCAAGGCCCGTGTCGCCCGGCCAGGCCGGGACTCGAGGCTGCCGGTTCGTTAGAGAAGAATACACCGGGCTTCTCCCATGCAATATGCAACGATCCATATCCAGGCCAACCCCTTTGTCTCTATTTGGTTTTCGCGCTTCGAAAACTGTAACCTCGCCTCTCGATCGTCGTCGGCCGATATGAGAGAGCGAGAGAGACCACCAAGGAAACCCTTATCCTCTCCTCTCCTCTCGCCCATCCGGGGACGCCTCCTCCCTTCGAGGACGTTATGGTGTATTAGTGGAAGAAAAACGCGGACTCAGGCGGAGGCAGGCAGGGGAGGAAGGGGGAAGGCAGGCAGCTGCATTGTTCTCCGATTTTGGTTCGAGCCGATAGTCACGAACAACGGAGGTCACGTGCTGCAACCGGAGGGGGGAACCGGAGGCGGAGGATCGATGAATTCGAGCGACGACGATCGGGATCGTTGATTTTGTAATTAGGGGATTCTACGAAGAACGCGTGATCGAGAACCCGGAACGAGGCTCGCTTCGATTCTAGCCGCTTTGCCTCGATGCTGCTGCTGCTGCTCGCTCTATTCCTGGATCGAAACGGTTTCGTATTAAGAGGGTTGATTGGTGGACAGATAGAGGCGTAGTTGTCGTGTCGTTGTGCTCGTCTGGATGTGGGATAGGTAAGGGTAAATCTTGCAGGATTTTCATTGTAGAGGAAATATATTTGTGGTTCGATATTGGCGAGATAAAATAATTCGTTTCAAGCGGATGATAATTGATCTTTTCAGATCGAAAAAGTAGAATATAAATAACTGATCCTAAGAGACGTAAGTAACGTAATGGAATAGCTTTGAGAGAAATTATCAACTTTAAGATTCGTTGGAATATCATTGGACGAAAGTTTCTAATAAGCATCGTATAGATATATTTCGGAATTGTTTAATTAATCGTATACGTTGGCTGGAGTTAAATGGAACGCGATGATTATTTTCGCAAATTGTTCGCAACGAAATTTCCGCAACGCTCTTGAGATATTATCAACTAGTGGGTGACCAGGCATCAGGTATCAGGTTCTACTTCATCGTGGATGGAAATAATCGAGATTGAAATTTCTGTGCATGCGATCGGGCAAAAAGTAGCGATCGTAAATTGCATTAACTGGGCGCATTTATCGCGCTAAAACTCATTCGATTATAAAAATGTTCGATCGGGGCGGCGCGCGCCACGCTCTGATTTATTTATTTATTTATTTATTTGTGTATTTGCGCCGGATTATATCCGTTGCTTGGAAAAATGATGTGATAACAACGATATCGAGAATGAAGGTAAATACGCGCGGGATTAACGTAAAAAAAAAAAAAAAAAAAAAAAAAAGAAAAAAAAAGAAAAAATCGTGTAAACACACATGCGTGCGGATAATATATCGCGAAATATCATACACTCGTTAAAAGTTGCTTGAGTGAAGAAAGGATTTTAAAGTTTTAACGATAACGTGTAACTTTTAATAACAATAACAACGTTGCAACGACCAAAATCCATTAACATTTTTAGTTCCGTTTCGATCACGCGCTACATTTTTTTCGTAAAATACCATCGCAACAACAACAATATTCCCGAATTTACCTTAAATTATTCTCCACAACTCGAAATTTCATCTACTCCCTTTCACTTTCCCCCTTTCATTTATTACTCTATCATCTCAATTTTCATAAAACGCCTGTTCAATATTTTTAAAGCTCGATCAAAATATTCCTCGAGCGCGTATACCATATTTAATCAACTTTCCATCCATCGATCAAATTAACCTCATATCAAAAAAAAAAAAAAAAAACACTCGACGAATAAAAATTATCCAAACCCGTCGATATCATTACCCACCCTCTAAAAATATCTACCCGTCTCTATTTCTCCCTATCCCTTCCTTCCTTAATCGCGCCGCATTAATAACGTAAAGAGGATCGATAATCTTGCCCAGGTTGTTTGCCGGAAGATGTTCCCGATGCCGAGCGGGAATCTCCGCCACGGAGCTGGTGATGCGCGCCAGGGATCTGGTGTACCACGTGGCCTGTTTTACATGCGCCTCATGCGGCACCCCGCTGAACAAGGGCGATCATTTCGGGCAGAGGGACGGCCTGGTCTACTGTAGGTGAGAAACACGAGCCCGAATTACCATCCTCGAAATGGCCGTCTCTTTGTTATCAACGAGTTTGATGACGAGAGTGACAGAAACACGAGGCGCGTCGACGTAGGACACTTATTATCGTTCGTTCGCAATAATGACAGCCCTGAAGCGGGCGCGGGTGAATCCGGTTTCTTCTTTTTTTTTTTTCTTCTTCCTTTCGATTCTCAGAGACGAGATCGCGGCGGAGAGAGAACGGGAAGAGAGAAAGAAAGGGAGAAAGAGAGAGAGAGAGAGAGAGAGAGAGAGTCGAGATCGACGCGCGCTCTCGTAAAGGGAAAGACGTCGCGGTGCCGCTTGCCGCTTGCGATTCGATCGACAAGCGTTTGTATCGATCGACGAGAGGAATGACGAAATATCGAGAATATATCGCGATCTTTGCTTCGATCGTTATTTCTATTCGAGGAGAGAAATGAGAAGAGAGAGAAGAGGTATATCGAGTATAACGCGTTACGTTCGATTCTGTGAACGCGCGCAAGGGGTTGAAACGAAGGAGGAGGAATTTAAACTTTCGTTTTTTTGAAGGAGTGACGAGCAATACGTCTTCGACGCGGTTTAATAAACTCCGTTTAATAAACGGTCGAAACATTTTCCAATTCAAAGATACAAAGATAGTAGATAATTTAGATAACAAATTCTCGATCCTGAGTTCCGTTGTATTTATTGAAAAATCAAGAAGATGTTTCTTGTTACTTTCGAAAAGTAAAAAGTAGACGAAATAGTGGGGGTGGCGAATGGTAATGATAATGAAAGGAAAGGAAAAGAGAATGAAGATCGGTCGATCGATCGACGCCGATTGAGCGGTAAGCGGGCTGGCCCGTTCGTCTATCGCCTCTCGCGAGCGTGTTACGCGTTCATCGAACTCGGGGGATAACGCAGGGTCGCCACTCAAATACTCGACAGCAAGGTTCACGAATGACGAGCTGGTCGGTCCCAAGACCCCACTACGAGTTGCTGTGCTGCGCTGGGGATTACGGGGGCGCAGCAACGAGTATCGAGGACATCGGTTCGCCGGGGGTGTCGCCGCTTCCGGCTTATTACAGCGCCGCCGAGCAGAGCCCGATCACCTCGTCCGGCAGCGTGCAGAAGGGACGGCCCAGGAAGCGGAAGCTGTCCGAAGTCACCGGATCCGAGCTACCTGTCACCATGAGGCTGGCCGCTGGGGCTCTCGGTAAGATTTTTATTCCCTTTGTTTTCACTCATCTTTTCTTCTCTTTTCTTTCTTTCTTTCTTTCTTTCTTTTCTTTTCTTTTTTTTTTTTTTATCTATTAGGATGAAATAAAATTGGGAGGAAAAATTCTTTTCGAAAAAAATCGTTTCGAAAATCCGCTATCCGGAAATCGATTGATCGGACCATTCGCCCGGACGAAGGGGAGGCGGGGAGGGAAGACAGAGGAAGAAGAAAAACGCCGGCCCCGGGGCCCTTTGTTCCTCCCGTCGTACAGTCGAAACAATGAAGAATTCACAAGAATCGAGTCTCGGCTCTCGGCCTCTCCGAGTCGAGGACGCAAATACGTGTAATTGGCAGTGGTGAAATAACGCGAGAACGCAAGAGAGGGATGGAAAGGGTTGCCCGAGGGATAATTGGGCCGGATGGTAAACGGGGGTGCTCGCTTGCTTTCAAACGTAGGTCTTAAAAACCATGGGAACACGTGGTACGCTTCGCCGTCCCTTTCCCTTTTCCTCCAACTCTTTCTCTCTCTTTTCCAGCCCCTTTCCAACCCCCTTTCTCTCTCTCTCTCTCTCTCTAACTCATCTCTTCTCCCTCTTCCCCATTCTCTCGCTCTTTCGAATAAAGAAGAAGGTTAGATATTTCTCCATCCTTCGAACAAAGAAGGTTAGAATCTCTCTCGTTCTTTCTCATTCTCCGCTCCTCGACGCGAGCAGGTCAGACCTCTCTCTTTCCCCTTCCGTGTTCCTCTCGAGAATCGAGTAGGTTGGACCTCTTCTTTTCTCCTTCTCCATCCCTCGAATCGGGCAGGTTGGCCGGGGTAGTTGTATTATTTGCCGAGCAATGAGTATAATGGGCTGGTTCGTTCGGTGAGCAAACATTTGCACGAGGTTTCGAGAATCGGGCGGAGATTGTTCGCGATCGTTAGTCGCGTTCCCTCATCGACGCACACGCGAGGAATTCTTCGGCGAAATTTCGCCCATGGTTTAATTGATCCATGGACGCGAGTGGCGGGACACGATCCTTTCGTGCCTGTTCGCGCTCAATGCGCCGGACGCGTGACAGCCGCTCCAACGATTTTCCTTTTCGAGAGGCCCCTCGAACGCGTCCTCGCTTTTGGCCGCGGCGGCCGCTTAAATTGGCCCGCTTCGATACGCGGCAAGATGCGGCCACCTTCCTTCTTCGATCGAAACGAAGAAACTCCCAAGAGGGAAGGGAAAGGTGAATAAGGAGGAGACGTGTAAAGATGAGGATTTGTGGGTTGTGTAAATGTTTGACGTTAGTTTCGGACTATATTTATATTCTTCCGTTTGTAAATTTTTATTAAACGAGGGTCGTAATCTCTCGAGATTGCTTCGATACAATTACAATTATTGTTACATTCCGCTATTTAACCCTCGAAATTAAAATTTTCCAATTATTAATAATTTTTCAAAGTACTTATAATAAATTGTCGCAATCAATGTTCGATCCTCGTAAAGATTCAAAACAAGATTTCCGTTAACGTTACTTCAGAAAAATCGTATAACCCCTCCAAAAACATCTCTCCTCTGACCATCGAGACCTCTAATTCAAGGAGACGTTTGCAACCCCCGTGGAAGCGAGATCTCGTCGCGTCATCCGCCAAATTCGTTTAAAGTCCGTAACATTCTCGTTCACTGACGTTTCGAGATACACCCCCTCCTCTTTACTTTACTTATTTTCTAATCGACGCGCTGGGATCAGTTTCGAGGGAGCGGAATTTACGATCAACGGGCATAAAATCGGGGCACGAAGCCTGGTCCCAACCTTGGACGGGGTGGGAATCCGGCGGTTGCCTCGCGTTTTATTGTCTTTATATATAATTGGGACACTTTTTGCAGGACGGGCCGCCTGATCCCTCGAACTATTCTCGTCTGGACGTCGCAGGCAGGCGCGTTCGATGGATCGTTGGAATTGCGACCGCGATAAGCCCGCGTCTCTTCGCCTCTGAAAATACCTTCGTCCTCCCGGTTACGGTTCTTGCGATCCTGAAAAATTACCCTTCTTAGGAGGCTGAGAAGTTTGTCGAAGGGATGCTGCTTGATTCTTGAAAACGTATCTCCGATCGGTTCCTTCCGAACTCGAAAACATTTCCTCGACGATGATTTAAATACTTCTCGACTCGACTCTTCTCAATAACACTCACGTAAAATATTTTTTAACGCAATTTTCGTCGCGATAGATCCCACAGTTCGAAAACATTTTCTCCAATGTTAAAGGACAGCGAAGAAGATCGAAACTTTGTCCCGATTCCGCTTGCTGGAATCTCAAACGGAGGTAAAAGAATTGGGAGGGGGAAAAAAAAAAAAAAAAAAATGTCGTTGGGCGAAAGCACCGGAAGAGAGGCTTCACGACGAAGAAGGTGGATAGGAGAGATTTGAACGGGGATTCGAGGCACGCCGGTCGCGCGAACGGAGAAAAGGCTAGGCCCCCTCGGACAGTGACAGATGGGTATCGGTGGCGAGATGCATCGATTGGCCGATCTGGCAGGAAAAGAATGCTGCCGCGGCCAATACGTGGCCGCGGCCAGCAGAATGGCCGGCGGAACACTATAATGCCGGCCGCGTGAGTTTCTTTTGCTAAGAGAAACGGTCCTCGTCCTCGCTCCGTCCAACGTCCGTGCCATCCGCGTGATTTCGCCCTCTGGACCAGGACCTGACAAATTGTAATCTCATTCTTGAACCACGAAAACCGTCCTCCTCGAATCCCCGCTATTCCTCCTGCTATTCCGCCCCTCTTCCCCCCCCCCCCTCTTCCTCCCTCCTCCCTCCTTTTTCGAGCTCGGAGGAGCTTGGGAACCAGGCCAGCTCGATGAAAAAACTTGCGTATTCCTTTTGCAGGGCCTAGCGTTCGCCCCGCGTTTATTGATAGAGCTGGTTTCCAGGGAAAGCGAACCGTTCGGGAATCGAGCCGGAGCCGTTCCATTTTCTTCGCTTTTTCTCGACCGGAGGCTGGGTGCAATGAATGGGTGTCCCTTGCGCGGGGAAACTGGGTTCCCCCGCGGCTTGGATTGGGTCGAACGTGACTCGAGACGCTTTTTGTCCACGGTGTTCGAGAGAGTATAGAAAACGTTCGATTTTTCCCCTACATTGGGTATACGGGTTATATAAACTGCTTCTTGTCCCGGACAATACAGTGGTGGTCAACCTTGTGGCAGAATCGAATAGTTTTCGTTTCGAAATTGTATCAATCGTGTATAATCTTCTTGATAAAACAATCCACTCGATTTATCCATCCCAATCGGAATTCTCATTCTCATCGTATTTGCGTTTCACGATTATATAACATCGCCGCAAGATTGGAAACAAATTTCGAAAAGATTAGAATCGTCATCGATTTCGAATTTTGTTCAAATCGTCGAGCAGAGAGGAATGAGAAATGGAATTCCATCCTCCTGGAAACTGGAAAAATTGCCTGAACCGGAAGTAGGAGGAGATGAAAAAAATTCGAGGGTTCTCCAAGTCCGTCCGATCCTTGGAATTGGAAAGAAAAATCGGTGTCGTTCACCCTTTCGCAACAAAACGAATTCCAACGTCGGTGTGGCCGCGTCGCGGCTCTTCTCTTTTCTGGATCGCGAGCCAACGTCGCGTCCGCAGGGAATGGAAGTTCGGGACAATAAACAGTAATGGCGGATACGTGCTCGGGGATTTACTTCTGGTCGTGGTCCACCCCCCCCCCGGCCCCCCTCGGCCCCCGGTTGGCGCGCAGCGGCTGTCCACGAACGTCGCCTGGAACCCGTTCTTTCTCTCCGATTGAATTCAATGGTTACCCTCGTCGTCTTATTTATTGGATGCGTTCCTTCGCTCCGCCGGCGCGCAACGACTTCGCAACCGTTGCGCACCGATGTCGTCCCCTTAGCTGGACGGGAGAGGAGGAGGGGGGGAGGCGCTCTGTAAGAAAATTTCTATTCCTTCGCGCGTGGAAATTCGTCTCGTCCGTCCATTTTCACGCAGAAAGAAGAAGAAAATTTTTCCTCTTACTTATGGGGGAATTGAGAGATTTGGAGCGAAAGTGTGTCTGATTTGTGACAACTTGCGTTACTTAACGAATGAAGAAAGAAAAAAATATGAAAACGATGTTTAGTACTCGTTCGAGGTTAATTAAGCGAAATCGAGTGTATCTCATTGTTGTTGGGAATCGTGGTGGAAGATAACACGATGGAAGAGGTGAAAATTTTATACGTATTATATCACGTATATTTGCAAATTTCATCGAATTGAAATTGATTTTTAATTCCGTCGAGACGAATTAATTTGGGAAAACGAGGGTTGAGGACCAGGTAGAAGAGGAGACAAGTGATATTGTATCTCTCGATCCCTATCTCAACTTTTGCTCTCTAATTTATCGCTGCACCTGTCCACGGTACAGTTTTCAAGATTTCGAAATGATACACGCCTTATGTGTTAATTTAAAAATTGAATTATAAGTTACTTATGAAATCCCAACGTTACTTGAGAACGACGTATGGACGATGAAAGATAACCTTCGAGTTTCTCTCAAAGATCTAATTTCGGCCGCCATCCCGATCGAAAAATTCTTTCGCATTGATCTTTTTCTCTTAAGATGATCGTTCCACGATTGTCGCCAAACAGAAGAACAAATCGTTCGATAGATGGGTCAGATAGTCGGCTAGTAGCCGATTGATGGATCAGCACCGTTCACCAACGATCAAAGAGGATTCCTCTCGTTTACCATCCACCGTTTTGTTTCTATCGTTCGATCGACGCCTGCCTTTTTTCACCCGATCGCTGTTCCATCTTTTTACGTCAGTTGCGTGTCTCGTAAGCCGATCCAAAAAAACTCGCGCGCATTCCTCATCTTTATTTTCGCCGTTCGTTAATTCTTCTTAGAAAAATTAGAATTGAATCGATCGTTCGTTCCACCTTCGCGAATGATACGTTCAATCTCGATCCTGACATTATTTATTGCGAAGAAAAGAAATTTAATCTTATACTTTTGATACGAAATTTAATTTAAATAGTTTCCAGAAGAAGAAATTGTATCACGATTCTTCACCTTCTCAATCTCAATAACCCTGGTTTTATTTTATTCCGCTATTATTATTCTCTTATTCTCCTGGACGAAACAGATCGAGCTCCCAAGGAATCGCGCGAGAAGAAAAGATTCGAATACGTTTCCCAGTCGATCCGATTGAAACGTTAAAGTTTATCGAAATATCGTAGGGGGATAATTTGGTTGCAGAGCTTCTCCACCCGACCGAACTGTCCTCGTCCATGGAATCATTGGCGGCGTACGAAGCGTCTGTCGGCTCACCGGGGCCTGTGCATCAGAGCCAACGGACGAAGCGGATGAGAACGAGCTTCAAGCACCATCAGTTGCGGACGATGAAGAATTATTTTGCTATAAATCAGAATCCGGACGCGAAGGACCTCAAGCAACTGGCGCAGAAGACGGGGCTTTCGAAGAGGGTGCTTCAGGTAGGATAAAATAAATCTCACCCACCATTTCCTTATTCCCGAGTATATATCGAGAACTCGGATCTCGAGCCAACGATAATTAGCCGACTGATCGTTTTCTTCTTTTTTTCCTTTTTCATTTTATCAAACATGATAAATAAAAAAAAAAAATGTTGAGGAAATCAACGTTTTTATCGATAATTCGGTATCTCTGTGCGCGATAATCTCGAGAGACGACGGAGATGAAAATTAGTATAATCGAGCGTTTAATATTCCAATTTCCAATTAATCACGTCTCCTTCTCCATTTGAATTGATCGATATCCTTTCTTCGTCAACCTTCTTCATCTCGTTTTCGCTCGTTGATTTTCATTGATGATTATCTTCTTCGTCGATCCATTGCAAAAAAAAGAAAAAAGAAAAAAAGGAAGAATCGTCGCGAAAGAAACGAGACCCTGAAGATTCTCGGTTCCCGCTTAGGTCTGGTTCCAAAACGCCCGCGCGAAATGGCGGCGGAACATGATGAGGCAGGAGGGCAACACGACGACGAGCAACGTGGGGTGTCCAGGCACACCGGTGCCCTCGAACACGGCAGGCTCGCCGAACGTAGGTCCGGCAGCCAGCATCCTGGGGGACAGCAACAGCATGCCGTCGACCTCGATGGAGGAGCTCCACGCTCTTCATCACCTACATTCCGGCGTTTCCTCTCAGGTCTCCTTCTCCGATCTTTACTGACGACGGCTTGAGATGGAGGAAGACAGCTACAGCAGCCTTTCCAGCCATCTTGGATGAAGGATCTTCGCTCTTTCTTCCCCTTTCCTCGTCGATTTTTTTTTCTTTTTTCTCTTTTCTTTTCTCGAAGCGCCCACTTTCAGGGAGGAAGCCTCGAGAGCTCCTTCCTCTTCTTCTTCTTCTTCTTCTTCTTCCTCTCCTGGATCGATTCCAGAAGGGAACGGACCACGTTTCCCCTCCCTATCCACCCTTCCTTTCCGTTAACTAACCGAAGAAGGACAAGTTTCTATTTATTTATCGAATATTCCTCCTCTGAGATGGCGCTGAGAGTCGAAATCCAGGCGAAGGGGATTATTGAAAGAGGGAGAGACCTCTGACCAATTTCTTGGCGAGCAATCCAGATGATCCAGATCCTTGGCTGGATCGAGTCGGAGGATTTTAGGAAATCCGTGAAAGAAAGGAAGGAAGGAAGGAAGGAAGGAACGTGTTCGTTTGTTCGAAGAAACAGCGAGAGATTGACAATCTCGATCAAGCTCGTCCCTAGGTTTCTTAATTAATAAGAAGGGACGATCACGCGGCCGAATGAAGACGTTCACGGTTACTAATAGATTGGAAACGATTTCTTACGAGCTTGTCAAATCCCCGCAATTATCGCATTCGTTTGAACGAGGCCGATACTATTAAACCTTTCAGCGATTATATATATATACACTTTCGACAACAATCCGCGTACGTCAATTACAGGTAACAAGAACAAACGAGCGTTCATCGATCACCAGTCTCGATTTACGTGGCGAGCAACGCTAAAAACGATCGGTCGATCCATCAACTATCCGCAAACGAACGGACAGTTTCGTTTGCGCGAGAACGAGGTTAAAAGCGAGGCCATCCTCCAAGGCAATCTAATCTCTGATAAATTTATCGATCCTTGCCGGCAACGAATTCGAGAAATGAAACGAAGAATGAAAGAATCCCGACTCGCTCGCCGGGAAACGGTCAATGGTCCACACTAGAAATCCTACTACAGGACAGAGTACGACGGCAAGACGCTTGGGAAACAGCGTTTCGGCCGGATCGGATTTATATTTAAGTAATCAGTGATAATAATCATAGTTCCATGCACATCCGAATTACCAAAGAATTACTTATAGGCGATAGTTTGTCTCGCTAGCGAGAGCGCGAGTCGGGTCGATGGGTGTCGTGATAACAATCGATATTCGGAAAGAAACGACGAAAATGAAATTTTTGCTTTTCGTTTAAAGATAGACGATATATAAGAGTCGAAACGAAACGAAACGCGTACGAACGCGTTTATTTTTCTTTTTTCCCTTCCTCCCCACCCTCTCTTAACTCTTGCCCGAGGATGCGAATGGCTCTCAAACGAGCCATTTCGAAGGGAGAGGGATAGATCTTTATCATCATCGAGGAAAAATTCCTTCTGCGCTATCTTCCTTTTTAAACTCGCATTCGATGGAAGTATAAAAGTATGTACGATCATGATGGATCGATACGGTCCCTATCGCTTCGATACCTCGATCTTGCACGCGCGCGCACACACCGGCCCGACTACGCGCGCTGCTTCACTCCTCCTTTTTAGCCGAGTACCGTGTCACGAAGACACTTTTTGATAACGGCGATTTACGGGCTAGAGAATCGCGAGCGAACGAACGAACGAGCGACAGGTGTGGTAAAACGGCGTTCCTCTCCTCGTGCCAAAAAAAAAAAAAGAAAAAAAAAAAGAAAAGAAAAAGAAAAAAAAAAGAAGAAGAAGAAACGTACATACGAGGTAGGTAAGATACGAAGGTTCTTTTTTTCTTTTTTGTGTACGATGTGTACGATCGAATTCAATTTCGCCTTCGAAATTATTATTTTCCCTTGGCTTCTAATCGATCTTTGACGAATCGATAGATGTTTGCGTTTATTCGTAATCGTTGGAAAAATTCGAAGAAGAAGGAAGAATTATTCGTGGAAAAGTAAAAAGTTGTTCGTCTAAGCTGAGGATTTGTTGGATGTTTGGATTCGATCGATATACGAAATACACACGTTCGACCACCGACGACACACAGTATATGTATATTATAGGCATATGAGAATTAGCGGACGGATCGCAAAGTTTTTAGCCAGACGCGAGCGACGTATTAAATGATAAGGCTTGGGATCATCGAGTGTCCCGACCATCGTCGTGTAGCAAAGTGATGGACATCGGGGAAAAAAGGGGGGAAAAAAAAAAAAAAAAGAAAACCAAGATAAGAAGAGGAAAAGGAACACGAAGTTTCGTGACACGCTCGTTGAGAGAATTTCGAAACGAGAACGAAAAATGAAAAAAAAAAAAAAAAAAGTAGAAACGTGGATTCCTATGACGAGAAGATGAAAATTTATTTGTAACGCGCGATCGAGAACTTATAATTTTTATATATATACCGTCGTAATTAGAAAAAAAAAGAAAAATGATATTTATCGACTGCATTATCAAGCGACGAGACGTTTCGAGATTAAAAAGATGATCCCGATGGAATTCTAAAGTACCGCGATTCATCCTCTACATATAATATCCCAATTTGAAAATTTCCACGCTCCTTCGACAAACATCTCGTCAATTATCGCGATTACCATAGGACCAGCACAGCGCGCGCGGTCTTTTCTCACTTCTTTCCAACATTTTTGCGATCAACAAATCTCCAAACAAATCTCCCCCTCCCTCCCTTCCCCCGGAAGGTGGAGGCTCGACCAGCGTCGAATCGGAAATAATGTGCATATAGTCGGCGGCAGTCGCGTGTTAGGCATGTGTAGCATAGCGATTAATGTACGTCAGCGTCTTAAAAGTCGAAACAAGAAACGAAAAAAGAAAAAAAAAAAAAAAAAAAAAAAAAAAAAAGAAAAAAAGAAAAGAAAAAAAAGAAAAGAAAAAAAAGAAAAAATAATAATAATAATAATAATAATAATAATAATAATAAAGCGTCGTGGGTGGAACAATTATATTAAAAACTGTATAGATGAAATTAATGTGCAGCATTCGAGTGCGGCTATTATCGTATAATAAATAGTTACGTACATCTGGACTTTGAAAATGGCATTAATCATTTTCTTCATTTCCGTCTTCTTATTTCATTTCGTTTCGCTCCCTAATATTTTTCTTATTTCGAATCACGATTATCACCGTAACTTGTTCTTTCTTCTCCCCCTCCTCCATAAATTTAATTTCAAAATCCAAAACGATTATTCGAAAAGAGGATCGCTTATTTCAAGTAGGGATCGATCGAGAGGGAAGATGCAGACTCACAAAGTAGCCCCAAAATCATCCCCAAACCGAAACCGTTTCAAAGGATCCCACGAATCTCGTTCTTAATTGAATCGCAAATTAAGTCCGAATCCCTTGGCAAAAGGAGACCTCGAAGGCCTGTCCGAGCCGTTTCACGGCCATCTCACAAAGTTGGTCGTCGTATGCGAATATGCGAGCCGCGGTACGCATGAAACGTGAATTTTATTCCCCCGTTATACTCTCCCCCTCCCCTTCTTAAATCTGAAATCCGTACCGACTCCGTGAATCCAAGCTGGAAATATGAATAAAGCGAGCGAGTCACAAACGGCCGCGACAACCTCAAACGGTCAATCGTTTGTCTTCTCGTATTTTTTCGCCACACGCGAGCCGGTCGCGGCGAGATCCGCCCGTTCAGAGCAAGTGCGAGTTCTAATTAGCATCAAATTAGGTATTTAAGGATTTCACGTTCGTGCGTGAAAGAATCGTGGAAGGAGGGCCCGCCGTGCGAGGGTGGGAGAAGGCTGCAAGCGACGGAGAAAAGAAGAAGAAGAAGAAGAAGAAGAAGAAGGAGGAGGAGGAGGAGGAGGGGAAGGAGGAGGAAGGTCGAGAGGCGGAAGAAAAAAGAAGACGAAGGCTTCTTCTACTTAGGGGTTATACCAACATAGGGACCTCTCGTGTAAATTGTAGGCCCCGGAGTCGTATAAGTGCAGCGAGCTGTACGGCGCGTATACACATATATTTCGCCGCCGCTCATATAAGTTAATTTTCAATCTATATGCGGGTTCTCGGATGGCGCGCGGCGACTCATCAACGAAATGAAGAAATTGAGACTCTCGTTAATATTTAATGAGCGCGAGGAGCAAGAGGAGGAGAAGGAGGAGAAGGAGGAGGAGGAGGATACAATGGCCGGGGACCCATACGCGGACGCTTCGAAATATCATCCGGATCCGTCAAGGATTTGCCGATTTTTCGTCTTCTACCGCGATGATCGGGAATGAATCGGGAGGATTTTTATCTGCATTTTACGCGAAGAACGGATCATGATTCTGAATGAGGAATTATTCGATGTCGTTTTGGTTATATTTTTCATATGTGAAATTGATGAAGAATATATACGTATAGATTAAAAATATCGAAATAAATAAGTCTGATGATGATTTATTCTTCTCCTCTCGAAATAAAAATAACCAATTATTGAAGAAAATCGAATCGATCCTTGATTTCTAATTACAATAGTTATATATTCCTATTTGTAATTCATGTAAGAGGATGCGTTTCCAAATAATATAATCCTTCTCTCGATCCTTTTTCGACACTTTTTAACACCGATTTCTCGCCCGTGGATAAAAGAATTACAATTAATATTCGCTCATTGTTCACCGTTTTCTTTTCTTTTCTTTTCAAACGGCGAGTCGAAACGGTGAGTCGCGCGCCTCCGAAAAGAGGATCCAATTTGTGCCCCTTTTGTTGGCTGGCCTATTTACAACTAATTTACGAGCCGGGTCCATCGACAGCGAGGAGGCATATGTGTAAACGGTTAACGAGAAGGGGACGACAGACAACACGGTCGAACGTAAGAAGCCATCCCAATTCCTGTGGTGGCGGAGGGACGCGCGCATCCATGAATTCCGCGTATTTTCTGTCTTGTCGAAAAGCGGCGGTCGTCGCTGGCTCGCCTTTTAAAGCGGCGACAGCTGCATCCAGAATCTGGTCCTCCCCTTTCGTTCGATGATCGCGAACGTCCGCTTTTGCGCGCTTTATCTCTCCGCGACACGATCCTCGAAAACAGCGGCCGATACGATTTCGATCCGTGCCTCTTTTTCGCTGATTAACCCGATTCCACGGGCACGAGACCAACAGCTTCCTCCGTTCGATCGTCAACGAAATCTCTCCTTCTCTCTTTCTCTTCTTTCGCTTCGAACGGTGACATTTCGGTTGCCGTGGTCCAGAAACGTCACCGATCGACAGATATATATTATCTCCGGTTTTTTTCTTTTTTTTTGCCTTCTTTTCGAGAACGGCTGGAGATATCGAGTAACTTGAACTCATCGCCGTAGATGTCTGGACCCGACATTTCGTTCCATTTCCTTGATACAATAAATACACCGAGATAGGCGTGTGTATATATCTTTAAATTGTGAATAGGATTTTTATAAATTGAATACACGGGACGAATACTTGGAGGAGCGAAAGAGATTGAAAGGAGATAATCGGTTTAATCCGAACGATTAAAAGTCAACCGCGTGTCTACTTATTTTCGTCCTCCTCACCTTCTTTTTTTCCACCAGGTGAAATCTACAATCGACGAATATTAAATACCAGAGATAAAAGAAAAGAGAAGAAGCATATCTCCTTACGCGCGTTCCCTGTATATCGTATCCTGTTTCACTTCATTTCACAACCCACCGAGGTTATCTCATCCGTTAAATGTCCTCACCTCTATTCATTAAACGCCGTATCGAAAGTAAAAAGAGAAAGAAAAAGAAGGCCGCTAATTAGGTCAAGCCCTCCCCCTTTGCATTACCCTCGCATTATCTTCGAATAATTTTCCCGCGTATCGCGTAATTACACAGTACGTTACCGGCCACGCGATTATCGGCAATCTGTACACCGGTCGGAACGGAAGCCAGCGGCAAATTATTCCAACGAGATCGATTTACAACTCTTAATAACCCGCAGTAACCCCTCCCTCCTCGCCCAACGCCCGACGAATGTCACGCTCGAGCGTCGAAATCGGCTCGAACACCTTCCACTTTTATCCACGCACTTCGGATCCCGTCATCAACCGCGCGAAAATTTATGCTTCCTCGAACGACCGCAACGAGCCGATGGCGGGCGAACGGTGGCTGCGATGAATCGCGAAAATGGCACGCTTTATTTGCGGCCGGTTGCGCCATCTCTCTACAGGTGTTTTACACGCTCGAGCCAACTTCATTTGTCCGTGGAAATCGGCCGACCTTTAACACCGGTCGCCGCCGCGGGACACCAGTGATATTCTTTGCGCGGGAAAGAGCGAGACGAGACGAGACGAGACGAGGTAACGGGTTGTTCCCGTACAAATATATATATATATATATATATATATATATACACGGACAGGTGAGGGAACGTGGAATGGTTCTCCATGACCGATCGAATTTTACGTTAATTAGTTAAGCGTCGTTGAGCGCGCACGCGAGGGCGCCCGAGTAACGAAGGTGACGATGTAACGAAAGTACTATGCGTGGAATGAATTGTATTCGCCGGCTACCGGAGGACGAACGCCATTTCTCAGCCGTGTTTTTCAGGATACTTCGAGGAGGTAGTTATTCGCGTGGGTTGCAAATGAAATTTTCGACTCGATCGTGACTCAACGAAGAAAGAGAGTTCCAACCAATCTTTTGCCTTCGTTCGCGTCTAATAATTCGTACGTCACAACGGTTGACGCTGCTTCCCTATGATTAATCCTCAATCGTATGCTCGTTCCCGGAATCTCAGAATTTTTTCGACTGTACGAGGAATATTGCTTTAAAGATCGGGTCTAGGAGAGCATAGGCCGCCAATTAGTCTACGCTCCCCTCCCGCTTCGATCGCTTCGACGATCACCGAAATGATTCGGCAAAAGGCAAGAAAGAAAAAGAAAAAGAGGAGGAGGAGGAGAACTGTCCGCAAATCGTCGCGTTCTCGGAGGCAACAAGAACGAAAGGGACGGCTGTCGTGGAACGGTGGAAAAGATGGAGCCGTGGACGTCTGGAAGGGTCTCGGTATCCGGTCGGTATCCGGCCGGTGTCGAAGCGGCCGACTGGGTTAAAAAGCGGACCAATTTTCAGTAATTTGTACGCGTTGGAGCCGCGAACGCGCGCGTATTCGTGCCGCCGACACGATCGAACTCCTCGCCTCTCTCCTCTTTGAACCGCATGCCGTACGCTGGAAGTGGAGGACGGTAGCGCACTGGTGTCCTCCTCTATTCCGCTCCCGAGGACATCAAACAGAGCAAGCGAGTAACAGGCACGACGATCAGCACGAGGATCGATGGAGGAGAAGAAGGAGAACAAGGAGAGAGAGAGAGAGAGAGAGAGAGGGTGAGAGCGATAATGGAGCGGGACGAGGAAAGTCTTGAGAAGGCTAGTTTCGAGGGAGGAAGGAAGCCTTCGACGGTGCGTTCACGGATTCGGTCGATAGTCTTTTGTTCTGTCAAACGTCGGAACGTGGACCGCGCCCGGTTCCTCCTCGAGGGAGAGAACGAAAGGCGGAGAATCTTCCTCTCCGTTCTCTCTTCTCCGTTCGCCTCTCTTTCCTCGAGGAGACGAAGGACGAGAAGAAGAGAGAGAGAGCGGAGCGAGGAGACAACGAGAGAGGACCTCGAGGAGCGGAGTTTTTATTGGGGCGGCTGCTCTTGCGGGAGCCAGGGTCCGGCAATCGTCTCTTGCTTGCCAACTCGATATATACACGACTGTCTCTCCTGGGTAGAGAGAACTCTCGTGGACGTGTATAAGTGACGTATACGTGTATACACCAGCGGAGGGATCGGCACAAGGATGAGTCTACGCGGACCGAGTTGGCGCAAGAGAGGAGACCGCGACTCGTTTTCTGACTGCAAGAAGGGCAGCCACGTAGAGAGCCAGCTGCTACCAACCACCGCCACCATCTACCGCCATTGCATTCGATGTTACGCTTCCGCCGATAGTCGAGCGGACCTTTCTCTCTCTCTCTCTCTCTCTCTCTCTATATATATATATATATATATATATACCTCTTCTCTCACTTTTTCTTCTTCTCTTCCCTTCTCTTCTCTCCGTTCCTCGCCCTCCTCGCGATAAGCTTCGCCGC